AAAGCGGATTCTTAGCTTACCTCCTGGTTACTCACCAAACCCTTTAAATACTGTCAGAAACATGTAACTTGATTCTTATCTGTGTAATTATTAAAATAAGTAACTCTGTGACCCTCGTGTTTTACCTTCTTACAGGCTGTTTTTTTTTTGTTAAGGTCAAAAGATTAAAGCATCTTTCTGATAAACTCTTAATTTAAAACCAAACAGAGATGACAAAGCTTTTTATTCTCTCGCTTTACATTTGCAGGATAATAAATAACATCCAGGGTCAAATTTCAGTGAATAAATTTTAATTTTGGGGACTTTGCTAAACATGACAGGCTGTTAGTGACCACCGTCGAATGATGCACAGAAGACAAACAGTGTGCTCGTCCGTGTGAACTTCAGATGTCATGAGAAGCCGTTTAATGTTCAGGTTGCAGATTCTCCTCGCTCCACACAAACACGTTTTTAAAATGTTCGTTTTTACACTTAGAGCCTAGCACGAAGCTTCTCAAGATCCTCGGCGGCAGACGGCCGTATCCTGCTCTCAGCCCGACCAGGACCGCCCTCGCGTCGCTTTTAAACCAGGCCCGGGTGTCCGTTTTACTCGAAGCACTCCAGGATTGGCTCGTGTCCCGTCTCCTTGAGGAAGCGCAGCAGGTCGTCCGGTCTGAGCCCCATGGTGGCAGCGTTGGTCATCGGGTGGAAGTAGACCATCTCGTGGCCTCCTTCCACCAGGTCCCGGTCCAAGACGAACTTCACGCTGCAATCCTGATCGAAGAGCAGAGCAAGAGCCGTCGCACAGCCCTGACCCACCTGAAGGGGAGGAGTCTAAAGCTGTGACCTGTGAATTCAGCTCAATAATTGGCCCTCCCCGTTTTGATCCTTCCTACCTTCAGATTTTCCAACATGGCTGCCTCATCTGCGAAGCGCAGATTTCCACTCCCGACACCAAGCTTCTTGGCGAGGTCATTAAGGTTCACCTGCAGATGGAACGAGAGGAAGTGAGGTGTTAGTCTTTAGTTTTTAAGTCAGAGGTCATGTGGAGGAGCTGACCTGGCGGTCATGGCGGGCCGACACCAGCCACAGCCCCTTCTTCTTCTTGTCCTTCAGGAACAGGTTCTTGGTGACGGCGCCATTCACGCCCTGCAGGTGAGGCATCATCTCCTCCACCGTGAACACCTGCAGGAGGAGGAGAGTGGGTGAGAGCGGGCTCTTTGTGGAAGCTGCATTACTAACATCAAAGCCTCCTGCAACTCTTCCTGGTTTCCTACATTAATAAAGCTGTCTGACTGTGATGCCATCCATGCCTGCAGGACCAAACCAAACTCTGTGGTCTGGCGCCCTCTGCAGGTCACAGCAGGTCCTGCAGCACAAACGTGTCAGAGCAGTTTATGAAAGCTGCAGCAGACAGGAAGTACATAAATATATGCACATAAGTCAGGCATTCAAAGTCATATCTGCTTTTTCACGGCGCGCTCGATTCTAAGCGGAGCTTTAAAGCGCCCGTCCCAACGGATCCCGTTCAAAAACACTGCGCATTTCAGGATAAACAGATTCTGCGCAAACACAGCTGACTGCGCCTAAACTTCATCACGTAATTTTAACGTGAATTCGTGTGCTCGTGAATTCAGCACACACACGGCAAGCAAAGCGGCTCTTCTGTACTTCAGCTGACAACTTTGTTACTCCCCCACGTGTCAGTGGAGAAACTGAGGAGGAGACGCGCACTTCCACAACTGTGAGCGCGCATCAGGAGACCCTGTCATGGTCACGCGTGGCGCCGAATAAAAGTGCGAGTCTCTCCGATTGTGGAAATGTCTCCGAGCATATTTTCACGTATTTATATGATCTAGAGTCAGCTGAGGATGTTGAAAATGCCAGAAGCGCTAATGGGATTCGGTGTAGTCGGGCTGTCCGGTTTACCGGCGGGTGCTCCACGCATCTCGTCTGGATGTGTAAAGTCTGCAGATGTTTCTCCAGCTGTGCGCGCAGGTCCTCCGACATCTTCACGTGAGACAGCAGCTCAAACGGACACAGGTGGACCCGGCAGGTAGCCGCTGAGGAGCAGCTCTTCTTCTTCTGCAGCTGTTTTCCTGCAGCTGGCCGCTCGCTTCCTGCCACAGTGCCACCGTGTGACTGCGGAACAGAGCCAGCTACTCAAACTGAGCACGGGGTGCCCGCTCAGAGTGCAGATTGTAATGGGGAAGGATCTGCGTGCAGCTCGAGGTCTTAGGCTCTTTTAGAAAATGAAAATTATAAAACTGTTCGATTTGGGTCAAAGTAGCACCGACGGGTCAGAGAGACAATCACAGCGTCTCCGAGCATCAACACAATTCCATTTAACCCGAAAATCTGAGTGCTGAGATTAAAATCCTACATGCACACATGCACACACAGACACACACAGTTTCAGAGGTGATGAAGTACAAATACTTTGTTACATAAGTACTTAAGTGGACTTTTCAGTAGCCGTACTTCGTTTTTTACTCCTCACATTTTAAGTTCCGCGTCTCGACTTTATCATCCTTTCAGTTTAAGTCAGACTCGTTACTTCAGCTTTTTGCATAAGAAACATCCACATCAGGGATGGATGTGAACCATACAGAGGAATCAGAGGCCAAGGACGTAAGCCCGGCGAGCTCAATTGGTGGCGCATGAGATTCTTAATCTCAAGGGCGTGGGTTTGAGCCCCACATTGGGCATTTACCTTTATTTCCCACATGTGGGATTATGAGGAGTTTAAAACAAAAAACATGCAGGGAGCAGGAGCACATGGCGTTTCAATGAACACGAGACCCTGATGGTCAGACGTGACCACACATCTGAACTTCCAGCAGCTCTGCAGGGTCCAGCTTTAGTCTTCCTGACGTTCACACAGGTGCTTTGAACCCTGAACGCTTCACCTGTGCCTCCTCCGTCAGCTCCTCCTGCTATTTCCTGCGTCAGCAGCTGCTGGAGCAGAAGTCCTGATCTCCACATCACTTCCACCAGATGTTTCTTTACACACCGATGAAATATGTGACGCACACACTCACGCTGCCCGTCCACCCGTCAGTGCAAAGTGTGTTTATGTTCACTGTTTCTGCTCGACAGGAGGCGCACGCTTCATCATTCAGCTTACGGTGACGTGTTTCCAAGGTCCATTCATCAACTCACAGTTCAAATCAAACATAAATGTGACCACACGTGAGGAGAAGGAGGACCACGGAGCGGCGCCACCTCAAATCCTCTCCTTTCACCTGAGCTGCAGATCCACGGTTTATGTTTAACTTGACTGAAGGCCTGTAGGAGGAGCTTAGCTGGATAAAGCGTCCCAGCAGTGTCCCCTCTGACGTGGTCGTGTTCTTCCAACTCCAGCCTCTGCATGTCCTCCTTCACACATTCATGAACCTCCTGTGAGGTGTTTAAACTGTCCCACCTGGATGTGAGCGTGCTGCTGCACAGCTGCTGCACAGCTGCTGCACAGCTGCTGCACAGCTTAAAGGCAGTCTGTGTGTTTTGTGCGAGGCGTCACACCTGACACACAGAGACACCATCCAGCGAGTCATCGTGGAGATTTTAACGCGAGGTTCCTGAGGCAGGTGGAGCTGCGACTGCCAGTACACATCCCCAGATCTTTGGTTGGTCGCTCAGGTTCAGACTGAGCGAGGGGAGACTCCTCCCACCTTAACTGTGCATGTGGGTCAGGAGGCGATCTGAGGCCGATGCTTTCAGTGAGGCTGTAAAAGCAGCTGTGACCTCAGAGGGCAGATAATCTCAGACGTTTAGAGCAATCTGTGAGTCATTATAGTTCCCATAAGAGGACGCACACTCGGAGGCTCACTGCCTGCAATCACTGCTCAGGTGTGAGCTTGACTCTTATTATTACGTATTGATGAGGCTTTTCCTGATGATGTCGACAGGTGTTTGATCCCCTCACTGTTTCCCCCTCTCCCTCTGTCTCGTCTTCCTCTTCCTGCTCAGTGTTGGTCCACATGTTTGCTCATGGACTGAGAGCACACAGTGCCCTACATTCATCTCAGCTTCCATCAGTTTAACTGTTGATTAAATGGATGCACACACACACACACACACACACACACACACACAGTTGATTGAAATCATTCTTCCATGGGTCGATGCTGCTCAGTGTGTCAAACCACGAAAACATC